CAGAGGAGGCAGAAAGAGCCAGAACGGGCGTGTGCAGGAGGCTGGGGCTCTGTGACCCTGGAAGGTTGCTGTCCCTCTCTGGCCTCCTCCGCGTCTCTCTCTGCACCACGAGGAGGCAGGCTGTCAACCCACCCAGCCCATCCTGCTCTAGAGGGCAGAGGACCTACAGCCCACAGCCAGTCGCCACCAGAAGTCTAAAGGGTCTCCTGAGAACCAGGCACACTGCTGATCCCTTCACACGCCCTGAATCCTCCCCACCTCTGGGGCCGCTGTGCTGCCTGTTTTCCACAGGAGGAAAGCTCGTCGTGACAAGGGGCTGCCCATGGAAAGCCAGAACCCTGGCACATCCGGCCTCCAAGGCCTCTGTCCCTCTCTGAGACTGCTGCCAAACAGCCCCATTCTGGCCCACACTCTGGACCTCAAAGCAGCCTCCCCTTGGGTCCAGGGAGTCACGTGGACAGGTATTACAGATGAGCAAACCAGCGCTCAGAGAAGGCAAGCGAAGCAACTTGACCGAAGCCACGCAGCCCAAGTGAGGACCCACCCCCATTCTCCAGGATACTGAGTTCTTTCCTGACAACAGACTTGAGGCTTCTTGCCCAGGCACCCGCTTTGGTGTTAAGAGTCTGGCCTCAGTTCCTCTTGCTGCCACTGGGTCGCCTTCGGTGGAGAGAGGGAGCAGCCCCCTTGGCCTTCCTGCCAGGCGCACAGGAGGTGGAAGGACTGCAGAAGCCGCCTTCCTCCCTCTGGGCCTTCCCTCTCCTGGGCCACTTGACCCTGGCCTGGCTATGGGGCCAGCTCCCTCAATTGTCCCAAGATGGGTGCCAGATACCACCTCCCCCCAGGGCAATGTCCGGCCTCCTCTGGTCAAACAGCAGGGGAAGGACGATCGGAGAACAGTCCTTATCCTACAGGGAGGGGCCCTCATGGGACCTTCCCAAAGCCAGAGAGGTGCAAGGGCCTGACTAGTGACACGCAGCATCTCTCAGCCCCAGACTCCTGCCCCCGAGCAGGGGTACCCCTCTCTGCTCCACGTCGCAGAGGTGTCGGTGCTGGGCACCCTGACCTCCCGTCCGATGCTCACCCCTCCACTAGCTGCCCCATGCCGGGCACCATTCTGGGCACCAGGAAAAAGGCTGGAAAGACTCAAGGTTGTTGAGCAAGGTCAAGGCAGAGCCCGGGCTGACCAAGAGTGACAAAGAGGAAGTGCCCTCCTCTGAGTCCTTAACAGAGGGTCCCTGGTGGTGGGGAGGATAAGGGACACGGGGTGGGGAGGGCGTCTATGTATGAAGGTTTCTGCCTCTTGGGACTGCATTAGGCCCAAAAGCCTTTAAACTGATGCGGCTCAGACAGTGACAAATGGCTTGAGCCCTGTGATCCTGGCGTTCTCAGACTCCCAAGCTGGTTCCAACCTGAGCGCAGGAATCTCATCTCCCTCCTGACATCTCTGTCTCCAGCACAGAATGAGCATCCAGTGAGAGGCAGGTCAGGGCAGCCTAAAAATTAACCAGCAGGGGTGAAACAGGAACCTGCTAAGATTCAGGCAAATCAAAGACCCTGCCTTCCTGTGCCTCCCGTGTGCCGGGCACAAAGACCAGGGCTGGGGGAAGAATCCTCTGTAGAGAGATGACCTTCACCCACAAGGGATATTTAAGACCACCTCAAGATACAGCTGAACTGTGTAGTTAAAACAATGCTAATAATGACCACTAACACGCATCCTTGCATCCTTGACAAGTGTGTGTCATACAACCCCTTACCATGTGCCACATGTTAGGCTGTATGTGAATTATCCTGTTGACTGTTTACATACCCCCGGAGCCAGATACCAGCAGCACACCCATTCTGCAGAAAAGGACACTGAGGCTTGGTCAGGCGAGGGGCTGGCCTGTTTCACGGCCGAGACACGTGGAGATGACGACAGCGTCACCAACAAGCTGGAAGAAAGTGGGCCAGACCTCAGACAGACCAGGCTGCAGGTCACACTGCTCTCTGAGACCTGGCGGGGCGGGGTTCTCCGCCTCTCTGGAACCTTCTACTGCTCCTGGATATAAACTGTGCCAGGAAGGGTGAGGATGGGGTCACGGGGCACTGACAATTCACAGACTCTCATCTGCAGAGGAGGAAAACAACCTGCTCTGCAGTGGAAAGCCTAAAAGTTGGAGGATTTTAGCCAGGCTGAATCCAGATGCGTCTAGCAAGGGCCACCCAGCGTGAGCTGTTAGATCTTCCACTTCCTCACACACAGAGAGACCACCAGAAGAGTCGGAGGGTCATCACCAAGTAGCCAGCACTGACTCGGGCATGAACATCTCGGGCTCCCGTCTGGGTTATCGCAGCCAACTGCGCTATCCCAAGGTAGCCTAGGACGCCAGGTGATGCTTACATAAGCCAGGACCCCCAGAACCAGTTGTGGGGTCCCAGGAACCAAGACCTGCATGGTAAACACTTGTCAGGGATGCAAATTCCTGGGTGCAGCCCAGACTTTCGGACTTATCAGAAATCTGGGAGGGCAACCCCACCTAGGTACCTTGGTATTTAGCATGCTCTCCGGGAGATTCTGACATCTGAGAGTCCTTCCGAAGTGTTCCTCTCCTGACTGCTTACAGAATTCCCTGAACAAAGAGAAGATGGCTCTGCTCCCCATCAGAAGGAAGCTCACTGGGGGCCTTAGAATAAGCTAGGGGCTTTCTCTGTCTTTCTTCCTGGGACACTTTTCATTCAATAAATATCTGCGGACCTACTAAGTGTCAACACAACAAGACAGACCAGGGCCTGGGCAGAGGGACAGCATCAGCCAGGGAGACAGACAGGAGGCAAATGAACCCACCTCTGCCAGCCTCGCCCCTCATTAGGCTTCTACAAAGGAAAGGTACTCAGCTAATTCTCTCCCTGATCAAAACTGTTCTGTGTCTCCAAAGGCCTTTAAAAATAGCCCACCCAGCCCAGTACCACCAGCTCCTAATAAAACCTTGTGGGCTCAACTTCTCCCAAAGTTGACAGATCTGCTCAGAGAGAGGGGGGTGGACAAAATGACCACCCCAGGCCTCTTGCCATCCAGAATCCACATGGGTTTACAGCACAAACCAGAAAGGGACACACAGAAGAAAATCCCCTTCTGACCCCTTGGCCTGAGCACTGAGGTCTCTCAAGGGATACAGCTTTGGAGATAGACCCAAGTTCAAGTTCCTACACTGCCTAGTGACGTACCACTGAATCATGGGCACACCTGTTCGCCTCTCTAAGCCTTGGTTTCCTCATCCATAAGTGGGATAGTAACAGTGCCCACCATGCCCAGGGCTGCCGCGTAGCTTCAGTGTGCTAACGATGCAAAGGGCCCAGCATGGGATAAGCAGGACACCGGGCTTCATTCCGGCGGCTCCCTGCTCCACCATGATGGAGACACCCCGTGTAGCCCAAGCCCAGCACTCCTGGTGAGGCCCATGGTGCCCTCTGCCTCCCTGGGCACAGGATCCCAGGAAGTCCTGCCTGAAGCCTGCCTGCTGACAGCTGTGGGCCACATCTGCACTGAGCCTGAAGGAAGGCCTAGCAAATCTCACAGAAGAGTAGCCAAACTAGGAAGGCCCCCCCCCACCTCAGAGAGAGGGTGAGAGCGGCCAGGACGGGGTCCCTGGTCCTCAGAGCTTCCCTTCTTCAAGGAGCGGCGCCTGGGATGGGAGCTTCCTGCTGCAGAATTCCACTGGAGAAGGGCCGGTACCTCTCAGCAGACTATCCCCCCTCAGGGAAGCCCCCTTTGTTTCCCGCACACGGGGGGCCAGGGACACGGAGCTAAAGTGTGGGCTTGGACAAACCTGCAAACGTGCCCAGAAGCCCGATGGAGTGGGGGAGGGGGCCCAGAGGTTGTGCAATGCACCACCAGAAGCTGCCTCCCAAGCCTCTGGCAGCACATGGGGTTGGGCGGTCAGTCAGCTGCCTCCAGGGAGGGTGCACAGGGGCTTGACCCAAGAAGCTGCCCAGGTATGGGTTCTAAATTCCAGCCCAAAGCCAGGGCCACTGCCCCCTTCCAAGTCAGGCTCCCAGGCAGGCAGAAGCCCTTCCAGACCACCCAGCCCTCCTTCTCCCCACCCGGAAAAAGAAAGGAGAATCCCGGTGCCATTAACCCCTGCATGCCGAGGCACCTCCCAGGAGGCTGCCAGGGTGAGAGAAGTCTGGTATGGGGAAATGGGAGAGGTGAGGGGACGGGAGAGTTGGGAAGTCTGGCAAGTGGAGAGAGACGCCCTGGGACAGATCTAGGGAAGCCGAAGCCAACAGACCCTCTTAGGGGAGCATCACGCAGTCAAATGATGAGATCGCACAGGTCACCCATGGGGGCACAAGCCCATTTCCCAGTCTAGCAGACATATGGAGGAAGGGAGGTGAGATCAGAGCCGGAGCAGAATTCAGCCTGCAAATCCTGCAGCCAGTGGGGAGCCCAAGACCCTTCCCCGCCGCCGCTGCCTGGAGCTCTAAGTCTCGCCACCCCCCGTACACGATCCGGGGCCAGAGAGGGGGCGACAGGCCAACCTCGCAGCAGCAGCGGCGGCATCGTGATGCATGAATCACCCACCCCGCTGCGCTCGTGCCAGTCGGCTCCGCGCAGCCGGAACCACCCCGCAACCAGGCGCCCCCTCCCCGGACCAATGCCGCTCGCCCTGGCACAGCCCCGCCCTTTAGGGGCAACTCTGCAGAGAGGGGGCCGCGGGGGGGCTGGGGCTTTCCCTCCCGGCCTGGGGTGGCCCCGCGCAAGCTGACAGGCGGCCCAGTCCCGGGAGGGGTGGGGGGAGGGGTGCCCTGGAACAATAGGGCCAGGTGCGGGGCTGGGGGCGCGGCGGGGGGCTCCCGAGGGGCCCGGGGCGCGGGCGGGGCAGGAAAGGGGCGAGCGAGGGCCGCGGCGTGGAGGGGGTGGAGGGCGGGCCCGGAGGAGGGCGGCGGGGTGGGTGACCGGCGGGGGTGAGGGGCGCGGGGGTCGCGGGGCGGGGGTCCCCGGGGCGCGCACTCACAGTAGGTTTTCCTGGTCAGCTCCTCCACAACTTCGGGCTTCAACTTGCTGTTGGATTTCCCCATCGTCGGCGGCCGCGACCTCCGCCCCCGGGCCGGACCCCGTCAGGGCGCCCAGCGGGAGCGGCTCGGCCGGCACGGGCCGGGGCGGCAGCGGGCGGGGTGCCGAGGGCCGCCGGGCCGGGCCGGACTGGGCTGGGCCGAGCTGGGCCGGGCCGGGCCGCGCCTTTGTCTGGCTGTGCCCGCGCGGCCCGGGCGCGGGGCTCCTGCACGCCGAGCTGCGCTGCGCGGCTCGCGGCGCCTTGGCCGCCCTGGGCCCGGGGCGCGGGGCAGCCGCTGGGCAGGCCCGGGCCGTCCGGCCGCCGCCCTCTCGGGGCGCCGCGGCGCGGAGCTGCGCGGGGCTGGGCGCCTACGCGGCCGCGGCTGCCGCGGTCGTCCCTGGTTACTGGGCTCCGCGGCACATGCTCGCGGCTGCGCTCCTCTCGCCGCCGCCCCTGCGCTCCCCGCCCCCCGGCCCCCGCCCTCCCCGGCGCGCCGGGGCTGGGCCCGGAGCCGCCACTCAGCTCCCGGCACCGCCCCCGCCCCGCGCCCGCCCGGCGGGGCCTTCGTCCGCGGAGCCGCGGCCCCCGCGCTCGGGCCGGGCGGCTGGGAGGGACCCTGCCTCGCGGGCCGCGGCGGGACGGGGGGCAGTCGCGCCACCTCCCTGGAGTGGATCCGGGGCCCCGGCCCCTCGCGGCGGAGCGGGCGGGGCAGGGCCCTGCAGAACTGGCGTGAATGGGGCCAAGCCTCAGCCCGGGGAAATTCATTCATTCCGCGCGGATGTGTGGGTCGCGGGGGACAGGCGCGTTCCAGGCCTCACGCGGCTGCGGGGCTGGGGGAGCCCTGCTCTGCAGGATGAAGCCCGCGTGGTGGGGGCGCCGACCTCGGCCTGGTGGAGGATGACTCACAAGCCCAGAAAACCTCGAGGAGGGACGGAGGCCTGAACCCCGAAGGGGCTCCTCTGGGAGCACTGGCCTGCTGGCGCAGGTGCAGGCTGGCGAGATCCGAGGCCAGAAAGCAGGGACAGGCCGGTGGGGACACACCTGCCCTCCTGAGGGGCTGGGCCGTGGGGATTTAAATCAGGAGGCGGCAGGGACCTACCTGCCTTCTCCGCTTCTCCGCCTGCCCTCGTGCGGAGGGGCGCGCTAAGCGGACTTGAGGCGGAAGCCAGGGCTGCTCCACCACCTGGGTGGACAGGGGTGGGGGGCAAACTCCCATCTACAACATCCCCTTCCCAGCTTTACCGTTTTTCTCCTTAGCAACTACCACAGACTTAAGGTGTGTCTGTTCCTTGTGTTCGGCCGTCTCCTCCACCGGAGTACCAGCCCCAGAGAGCAGAGATTCTCATTTGCAGCTATAGCCCCAACACGTAGAAGGCACCTGCCTTGCGATGGCCATTCAGCAAAGCTCTGTGCCTGAGAAGGCAGGTGCTGGGGCCTGGCAGAGACAGAGCAGGGGAGGACACGGCGGGGATGAGCTGGTGGGCAGTCTCTTTTTCTCTCCATGTTGGCAGTGGTCAGACCTTGGGGATCCAGGAAGCACAGAGGACCTGGGGAGACAGAAACCCTGGCCAAAGTGGCTTAAGCTCCAGGTCCCAGGAAGCCTTCAGATGGGGGTGTACTTCCAGACCTTCTGCAGTTCATTTGTAAGGGAAGAGGGAGGGCACAGACCTCAGGAGCTGGGCTGGGCCCACAGTTGGAGGGACCTGCTTTAGACTTGGGAGCAGGATGTCCCAACTGTGAGGACTGACTTGGAATGAACAGCAGTAAGGGACTCACAGTTAGGGGCTCATAGTTGGACCGACCAGCTCCAGCATCCCGCTTGGGTCAGGGAACCGGCATGGGGACTAGGGCCTGCGCAGGATGGCAGTGACGGAGGTAGCAACTAAAGCCCCATAGAGATCCAGGTACTCCTCCTGTATGTCTTGCTCACTGCCTGCATGCCAAGCATGCACATGACCAATGAGGTCCATTTCCTCGGGGAGCCCACAGACCTCCCCCCGCCCCTGCCTGCTCCACAGGGGCCCCCAAATCACAGTGGCAACACACCTATAAGAGATCGTAGAGGGCACTGGGGGACTGTGCACAGAATTGCCAGATCTGAGAGGTCTGGGAGGTTCCTGGGTGCTTCCCAAATTCACTCTATCATTCAGCAAATATTTACTGAGCACCAATTGTTCTCCAGGCCCATCTAGAGGACACAGACAAACCCCTGCAGTCACTGAGCTTACAGGTAAGGAGTGGAGAGCAATATAAACAAACAAAATGCATAAGTAAAATGCATGATGTGAGAGGTGAAAATGTAAAAATAAGGCAGGGGTGAGGGATGGGAAGTGCTGGGGTGGGGAGAGGTGAGGCCTCTCAGGTCAGGAGAAGCCTCACTAAGAGAACAGGGAAGCACTGGCCAGGCCCTACAGAGGGTCCGCTGGCCCATGTGGCCTCGCAGGGGCAGCAGCAAGGTGGGCCTAGAGGGAGAAGCAGAAGGGCGATGAGGTCCAACTTGGGGATGTGTTGCTATTTAGGGCAGGACCAGGGGCCTTTGGGAGGTCACTGCATCGTTAGCCAGGGTGTTGGTAGCCGGGTGCAGTGTGGCAAAGGAGGACATGGAGAAAACTGGTTAGATTTGGGTTATATTTTGAAGGTAGAGACAGCGGGATCACCTAATGGATTGGATGGGGTGTGAGACAAAGCCAGAAGGGAGTAAGAACACCAGCGATTCGGCCTGAGTAACTGTGAGAATACCGTCTCCCTTTGCTAAAGTGGGGTGTGGACAGGTTTGGAGGTGGGAAGAGCAGCCCCCTGTCTGGACAAGTGAAGTGTGGGATGCCTATTGCTCATCCAATGGAGATGCCTAGGAAGCAAGTGATGCTGGAGCCTGGGGTTCAGGGGTAGATCCAGGCTGCAGGGATGAGCTGGGGGGTTGTCCTGGTCCAGATGGGATTTAAAGCCCTGAGAGACAGGATGTGGTCACCAGGGGATCTACTATCGTGTGATCAGAGGGGGACACAGGTCGGAGAGACAGGGAGGGCTCGCGGGAGAGGAGCAACAGGGGGCGGGGGCCTGGGAGTCACAGAAGGAGGGAGACGCGCAGGACTCGAAGCTGGGCAGTGTTTCAGATCCCCTGATGTGGGGCCAGCAGCAGGAGGGTGCTGGACCCTGGAGCCAGCCTTACCCTCTTTAGTGACCTGGATTTCCGCCCAGTGTGCCTGCCCACATCAGCGGAAAATGCCCCAGCTAGGGCCGCCCTGCACTGAGTGCTCAGCCCCGCTGTCCCGGACCACCCGAGAGGCGTTGTTCCAGTTCCTTGTGCTGCAGGACTTCAGTGTTAAGTAAAGAAAAATGTGCAGGGTTTCTGACCAGATTCACACTTTAAGAGGCTTCTCCTGGCTGCTGTGTGGATTGGAGGGGGCAGGATGAAGGCAGAGAGGGGCCAGGCAAGGCCAGGGAATTTGAGCCGACTGATTAGATTGTTGGGGGGCGGGCGCGGTGAGAGAGGAAGGGATGAGGATGGCTCTCCCTGGAAGGCGGAAGGGTCAGGAGGGGGCCCCTAAGGGGGGGCCAGTCAAGGAAGGCTCCCCGGAGGCTGCAGCGCTGGGGGAGGGATGGGGCCACCTGAGGAAAACCGGATTTGAAGAGGAAGCATGTTGGGAGTTTCATGTTAAAAAAAAAAGGAGGCTATAAACCAGTGTGTCTAGAAGAATCAGCTACATATACCTGTGTGAAAACAGTCTGAAGACTGTACCTCCCAGGTGTTTCATCAACTGTTACCAGTGTAGGTGGGATTACGAGCCATTTTATTTTCTTCTCTTATTCGTATTTTTCCTTGCATTTCAGGAGGAAATTCACATAACATAAAATTCACCACTTGAAAGTGTGCAATTCAGTGATTTTCCTATGCTTGTAGGATGTGCAGCTATCACCACTGTCTAATTCCAGAAACTCATCCGTATTTTATACAGACTGTTTTCTACAACTAAATGCATTGCTTTTGAATAAGAAAAATACTTGATCAAATTTTGCTCACCTGTGGGTAGCCCAAGGCAGAGGCCTTTCCGAGCCACCCCACCAGAGCACGCTGGGGATCAGATGCCCAGGCCCCGCCCCCAGACATGGTGAACCTGAACAGGGGCTGGTGGCAGCCTGGGAATCTGCATTTTAACCCAGCCATTAGCCCTCTCCATTGCCTTTTGGCAGGGATTCCCTTCTCTTGTTTTATGAGCTGGCCTGGGAGAGTGACCCCAGAAGCTTGCTCCCAGAAAGCCCATGAAAGGAAACATCACACACATGTGGTAAAAGAGTCGGGATTAAATATTCTCCTGGGCCGCTACAACCTGGGAGACCATTCCATCCCCTGCAGGATCCAAAGCGCCAGCCCGACCTCTTCCAAGTCTTAGTCTGAGTATCTAGGGCCTCCTGGGTGTGTCCATCTGGGTGTCCCTCAGGCACCTCAAACTCCTCAGGCCGGAAACCTAACTTAACCATCTCCCTCCCCAAAAAGAATCTTATTCCAACAAGTAGCGACTCCATAGCATCTGACTACGCTGACGGAGAGTGACTACAATGGTGTTGGGGGGGACTTGATAACATGCATGAATGTTGTAACTGCAATGTTGCTCATGTGAAACCTCACCAGGCTGTATAGCAATGATACCTTAATAACCACGCACACACACACACAGAAAAGAATCTTCTTCCCTTGGGCAAATGGCCCCTCCCATACTCAGCAGCTCCAGCCACAAACCTGAACCTTCTCAGGCCCTCGCTCCCCACAGAGACCTCACCCTCCAGATCAACCCTTCTAGTCCACTGCATTGCAGTCCCTAAGGAGCCCTCAAGGCGGACCGCTTTCTCCGTCCACCCACAGCCGGGCTAGACAGCCATCTCCCTTCCTCAAAGCCACCTTCTCTCCTGCCTCATCCCTTGGCACCTACGACAGGCTTTTACCAGGGCTGCTCTCCCTTCCCCTGCCGAGCTCTAGGGAGTGGGGAGGAGGGGTCCCACTGAACCCCTAGAACTGCAGTGCTGGGCACGGAAACCCCCGGCACACGGGAGACCATGGAGCACTTGAAACGTGGCCAGTCCAGATGGAGATGCGCTGCAAGCATAAAATACACACTGAATTTTGCAGGTTTGTACAAAATCAAAAGAATGAAAAATACCTCGTTAGTGTTTTTCAAATTTTGAGTACATATTAAATTGATAATATTTTGGATAGAAAGAGTTAAATACATGATTGAAATAAGTTATTTTAATGTGCCTTTAGAAAATTTTAAGCTACACATGTGGTTCACATTTATTTCAGTTGGACAGCGCTGCTGGATGTCCTTCAAGTCTCCGTTTAAACCTCACCTCTGGAGCCTTCCTGGGCCCCCCAGGTGAGCTCAAGTGCCACCT